CTCCGACTCGCAGCCGACGCTTCCGCCGACGGAAGAGGTCCATGGGCACCCTCAACCCTGAAGCTCCGGAATACTGTTTGCTTAGAAAGGGTTTAGGGTTTAGGGTTCAGGGTTCAGGGTTTAGGGATGGTCCCGAAAGAATCATACTATAACAACCCCCCGCCCCCCCAACACAAAAAACCCGTGTTCCAATTCTTAAGGCCCCTATATTTTGGCAGCCCTTGCCGTGACCCAGCGTAGCTTCCTGGCGAACCCGCTGGCCGCAGAACCGCCTTGGCTCCTAAACGGTGTCGTGCTTGCGAAACACCCCCCAAGAGTTGACCCCCTTCACCTGAACCCGAAACCCGAAACCCTAAACCCTAAACCCTAAACCCTAAACCCCTAAACCCCTAAACCCTAAACCCCTAAACCCTAAACACCTTGCTGGCAGGACATGATCCCGCGCAACATGCGCCAACCAAGAATTGCTCCAGCGTGGATGAAGCACGACAAGCAGGCGGCGGCATGTAGGGCTGCAGCAAAGAGCCGAATACCTGCGGGGTTTAGGGTTTGGGGAGGGTTTAGTTAGCATTTAGCGTTTAGGGTTTGGGGTTTCGGTTGAGGGTTTAGGGCAGTGAGCACACCGAGCCGAACTCCTAGAGTGGCCTTGAGGCAAGTCTGCTGCTTAGAACATTCTGCTTTTCGTTGTGATGAAGTGCAAATGCAGAGAAATCGTTCTGTCTGGTTCTTCGAGGGGGTGTTGCTTCCATTTGCTTTCCGCTCCAAGCGCAAAATCGTAAACCCTAAGCCCTAACCCCCCCCCCCCCCCGGCAGGACGCAATAGCCTTGCGCCCCCGACTTTGGGTTTTTTAAATCATGTCAGCATCCTATATCTTCGGCTGCGCTCAGGTTGCTTACTGTGTGCATTTTCCTTTGTTTTTTTGAGTCAAGCCAGATAGCGGTGGTGATGATGATGATCCTGATGGGTGGCCTTGATAATCGCAAATTCCGATGGCTGGCTTGTATTGTGACGCGCTTGTCAAGGTCGTCGTCGTTCTTTAACTTTAGATGGAGATGCTTCGCTTTATCTGCTCCAGATTGGGATGTTCCCACTAGGGATCCGAGTACCCCCTATAATTGCCCCTCTTCAGGACTGTTCGTATAAGGGGGCACATCCCATGCCCCAAAAGCAGTTGCAGGCAAAGGTCTGTAGACGACAGGGCGTCTAAGCAGGCCTTTAGGCCTTGCCTACCTGGTCGAGATCTCTCAATGATGACCCACCCTCGTGGGTTACCTGAATAAGGGAAAGTAGTGCAGACTTTGCCTTGAAGCCCTGATTAAACCCTAAGCCCTAAACCCTAAATCCTAAACCCTAAACCCTAAACCCTAAACCCCCAAACCCTAAACCCTAAACCCTAAACCCTAAACCCTAAACCCTAAACCCTAAACCCTAAACCCTAAACCCTAAACCCTAAACCCTAAACCCTAAAGCCAGCTCGTTTCTTCAGAAAGCCGGGCTTATCTCAGCATGTGCTGCTGGCCTGGGTGTCAGCTGGGCGGGCGGCAACAAAAACAGCAACGTGCGGCGCCCGCGAGGTTCTTCGCTTCTACGGCTTCTTCCAGGAGATGCTGCGCTCTTTGGGGCCCCCTTAAGGTTGGGCTTTACCCTGAACCCTAAACCTTATCTAAACCCTAAAGCAATAAACCCTCGTCGGTTTCAGGGCTAAGTGTGGTTTCGGGTTCAAAGGCTTTGGGTCTAGGGGTTTACGATGAGTACTGCAGGGTTTAAGGTTTCGGGTTTAGGGTGCAGTTTGAAGCAGCTTCCAGGTTCAAAAGGGTGCAGCTGCAAGGCGCACATTTGGCGGGTGCCATAAATTCGAACAGGCATCTTGTGTGTAGGTTAGAATTCGAATTGTTCTTGGGGTCGACTGGACGAAAAGGGGTCGGCGGTTGGCAACAGGACGAAAAGTATGCAGGGTTCTAAGGAGAGCATATGGGATTTTTTTCATCGCTGTTCAGCGCATTCGGGTGTTTTAGGGCCCCTGGGGTCCTCAACATCTTGCTTTGGTGTAGGTTTAGGGTTTAGGGTTTAGGGTTTAGGGTTTAGGGTTTAGGGTTTAGGGTTTAGGGTTTAGGGTTTAGGGTGTTGGGGCTTAGGGTTTAGGGTATAGGCGGCGGTGATTAATTTCGGTTCTTGTGGTGATGAGGATGAAGAAGGTCGGGGGTATACAAGGGTGTGTATGACGAGTCTTGTATGACGAGTCTTATGATGATTGCTTGTGGTGTTGTCTTGCTGTTGTTATGATCTCTACTTACTATCATTGTTATGACTGTTCTTGCGGCTATTGCGCTATGCGCTTGTTTTAGGGTTGAGGGTTTTTTGGAGTTGCGACTTGGTTTCAGATGGTCGTCTTCCGGGTGAGGGCGTTTAGGGTGCATGACATTGATGATGAACTCTTGTAGTCCGTCCTATGTGACAAATGTTTGTGCCATCTTTGTTGTTGATGGAAGGCTCCGTCGATTCTGCCTGTATGCACGTTCCGATGCGAGCGTGTGCTGCAAAGACGTTGATCGTCTGGAGAAGTGACCCTACTCTCAGGAGACCGTAACCGAACGCCCAGATGAGAACAGCCGCGTCCGCCAAGTGAACATCATGTTCCACATGGAGGACAGCGCGGGGTTTTAGGATTCTACTATTTGCTTAAACCCCCCCACACCAAAACAAATAATCCCAATATTGGGTTTAGGGGTTTCGGGTTTAGGGTTTGGGGTTTAGGGTTTAGGGGTTTAGGGTTTAGGGTTGACCTGGTTGTAAAAGGGTTTAGGGTTTAGGGTTCAGGGTTTGGGGTTTAGGAGTTCAAGCCGTGCTCAGAAGTGGCACTAGCGGTGGTGGATCAATTTCCGCGCACATGTCCCCTGGGGGTGGTTCCCGGCTGCTTGGATAGAGCTCCGGGTTCAAGAAGGGTTTAGGGTTTAGGTTTTAGGTTTTAGGTTTTAGGGTTTAGGGTTTAGGGTGTGTTTGGGATTTAGTACCCCCCTTAGTTGAGGAGTATGCCCAATGTTAGGAGAGGGATTCTAGTCTTCTAGGATGCAGAGTAGGCCCTTACCCTCTGTTTAGGGTTTAGGTTCCCTTGAGCCCCCTTAAACCATAAAGGGCACCCAGTTTATTCCCATGTTGCTCTTAGGCCTAGGCTTAAACACTAAACCCTAAACCCTAAACCCTAAACCCTAAACCCTAAACCCTAAACCCTAAACCCTAAACCCTAAACCCTAAACCCTAAACCCTAAAAACCCCAAACCCTAAACCCTTTATTGAAGGTTATTCCTAAATTCACGGGCCATTGGGCTCTTTGGGTTCGTGGGGCCTGCCGCAATCGCTCCGGGCTCCTAGGGCCATCGCTGTGGGGTTGGGAGCTCAAGTTCAGGGTCCAGGGTTTAGGGTGTAGGGTTTAGGGTTTAGGGTTTAGGGGTTCAGGGTCCAGGGTTTAGGGTGTAGGGTTTAGGGTTTAGGGTTTAGGGTTTAGGGTTTAGGGTTTAGGGGTTCAGGGTCCAGGGTTTAGGGTGTAGGGTTTAGGGTTTAGGGTTTAAGGTTTAGGGTTTAGGGTTTAGGGTTTAGGGTTTACCGATACAGCTACTGATTGATAGGAACAAGAGACACTACAACAAGAGCAAGAGCAATAGCAATGGCAATGGCAATAGAAATGGCAATGGGAATGGCAATAGCAAAAGCAATAGATAAATCAATAGCAATAGCAATGCGTAACAATAGCAAAGATAAGAGCAGGACGAAAACGGATAATTGTAATGGTAAGACTAACGAGAACGATAAGATAGCAGTTTGAACAGCAAGAGCAGCAATGACACAAATTCAAACAAAGCAGGCACTAAATTGATAATAGCAATAGTAAAGACCCCAGGCACTAGACCCTAAACCCACAACAAAACAACAAGCTTCCTTTGGCAGCCCTACCTTGGAGAGTTTAGGGTTGAGGGTTTAGGGTTTAGGATTGTCGCAACGAAGGCCTGCCTTCATCCTAGAAACACGGGAGCAGGAGGCTGGAAAGTTGCCAGACATTTTGGGGTTTAGGGACCCTAAACCCTAAACCCTAAACCCTAAACCCTAAACCCTAAACCCTAAACCCTAAACCCTAAACCCTAAACCCTAAACCCTAAACCCTAAACCCTAAACCCCGCGGTTCCCAGGGTTACTCCCCAAGTTTGCTAAAAGCTTTATTCCTTAGAGGATCGTGGAAAAGGGTCCCCGAACCCAAGGGTGGCATACCACCCTAAACCCTAAACCCTAAACCCTAAACCCTAAACCCTAAACCCTAAACCCTAAACCCTAAGCCCTAAACCCTAAACCCTAAACCCTAAACCCTAAACCCTAAACCCTAAACCCTAAACCGAAGGGTACCACCTTAGGGGTCCAAGCCAAAGTCCCTGGAGCCGTTGAAAAGGACGGAACCATCAGCATGACGGAGCCGAAGGCACTGGGTGCTCCTCGTTGTATCTAAAGGGTTTAGGGTTTAGGGTTTAGGGTTTAGGGTTTAGGGTTTAGGGTTTAGGGTTTCAGGCAAGCTACACAGCAGCCCTGAAGCAAAAATGGGTTTTAGGGTTTAGGGTTTACGGTTTTGGTCCCTTAATATGGTCCCTTTCCTCCAGGTTTCATCGGGTATATAAGGGTCATAAAAGGGGTCCCCCTTTAAGGTTTATATAAAGCGACCGGGTAACTTCCCTAAGATTGCAGGAGTCTCTTCTCGGGATCCTCTCGCGCTCCTCTTGGGGGGTGGCGGGGCTCTTCACGCTTTCATATCTACTGGGCCTGCCACAAAAGTCCACGGCATTCCGCCCTCACGAGTTCGAACGGGGCAGTGCATCTTCTGTCTTGGGAGGTTGAGGATTCATGCCCGACATGTGTGGGAGCAGGTGCATGTCCACTGTGCTGCTGCTTTGGGGAGGCACTCGGCCCAAGCCATTTCCTCGTGACCGCTTTGAAGCAGCCTTTATTATCTCGAGACGCCATGGACAAGCGAACCGTTGGCTGCTTGGGCGGAGGGCAGCTGGGCCGAATGATGGTCTACGCCGCGCACCGGCTGGGAGTCTGGGTGGGCCCTTGTGGTATATTTGTTTTGCACTTTTTTCCCTTTAAGTTAGGTTTACGAATTTAAGAGGCCCATGCTTGAGCTGCATCTGTGTCAGGAGGTTTGCTTATGGACCATATCCGAGGAGTGAAGATGTGCGTGCTCGATCCGCTTGGGGAGAAGTCTCCCGCCGGGCAGGTCGCAGAGATGTCGGTCATGGGCAGCTTCCAGGATGCCGACAAGGCGGGTAGATGCTCTCTAGACCCAAAATTTGTGGACCCTAAACCCATAGAGATCCCACAGTTTGGGGGCCCCACAACGCACCCACGGCAGGTTCGGGAGTTGGCGAAGAAGTGCGACATCCTCACTTTGGAGGTGGAGCACGTCAACGCGGAGGTGCTGGAGGAGCTCCATCAGGCGGGCGTTCCCGTGCAGCCTTTGCCCTTCGTGGTGAAGCTGATCCAGGACAAGTATGTCCAGAAGGTGCACCTGCAAAAGCATGGCGTGCCCCTGCCCGACTTCGAGAAGGTCGAAACCGAAGCTGACTTGCACAGCATCGGCGAGCGATTTGGCTACCCCATGATGCTGAAGAGCCGATACGGCGCCTACGACGGGAAGGGCAACGCCGTCGTGCCGAACGCGCAGGGCATCACGGCAGCCTTCGAGAAGCTTGGCGGCAATGTCGGCAAGAAGCTTTACGTCGAGAAATGGGCTCCTTTCAAGATGGAGCTGGCGGTCATGGTTGCCAGAGGAGTGGATGAGACCATGAACGTCACCATGCGCACCTACCCAGTGGTGCACACGGTGCAGCGGGACAGCGTTTGCTTCACTTGCCTCACCCCGCCGGTGGGAGTCACGCAGAAGCAGCAGGAACTGGCGCAGAAGATCGCCACGGACGCCATCAAGAGCTTCGGCGATGCCCGAGGCATCTTCGGCGTGGAGATGTTCCTTCTCGAGGACGGGTCGGTGCTCCTGAACGAGATCGCGCCCAGGCCACACAACACCGGCCACTACACCATGGAAGCCTGCGGCGTCGACCAGTTCGAGCAGCACCTGCGCTGCGTCTTGGGCCTCCCCCTAGGTGACTGCCAGCTCCGCGTCGGTGGTGCCATGATGGTGAACATCCTGGGACAGGGTGAGACCCCCGAGATGGTGACGAAGACCATGGCGCCCCTAAGGCAGGCGCTGAACGTGCCGGATGCCGGCATCCACTGGTATGGCAAGGAGGGCTGTGTGAAGGGCCGGAAGATGGGCCACATCACCGTGACGGGCTTCACGCCGGCCAGTGCCTTGGAGCAGATCCGACCTGTCTTGGTGGCCTTAGATGGCGACGACGCCGCCGACAAGATGGATGTTCCCAGCAAGCCTTCGCCCAGCGTGGGCATCATCATGGGCAGCGACAGCGATCTTCCCACCATGAAGGATGCAGCTCAGGTTCTCAGTGACTTCGGCATCCCCTATGAGATCAGCATTGTCTCGGCCCACCGCACGCCCGAATACATGTATGAGTACGCGACCACCGCGGAAGCCCGAGGCATCAACGTGATCATCGCGGGCGCCGGCGGTGCCGCGCACTTGCCCGGGATGGTGGCAGCCCTGACGCCCTTGCCCGTGATCGGCGTCCCTGTGAAGTCTTCCACCCTCAGTGGCAACGACTCGCTGCTGTCCATTGTGCAGATGCCCAAAGGCATTCCCGTGGCCACGGTCGCCATCGGCAACGCGGCCAATGCCGGGCTCCTGGCCGTCCGTATCCTGGGAGCCGCCAACCCAGGACAGAGGCAGAAGCTGGGCAGGTCCTTGGGAGACTTTGTGTATATATATATGTATATGTATATGTATATGTATATGTAAATGTGTATGTGTATGTGTATGTATATGTATATGTATATGTATATGTATATGTATATGTATATGTATATGTATATGTATATGTATATGTACATGTATATCTATCTGTGTATGTATATGTATATGTATATGTATATGTATATGTATATGTATATGTATATGTATATGTATATGTATATGTATATGTATATGTATATGTATATGTATATGTATATGTATATGTATATGTATGTGTATGTGCATGTGTGTGTGTGTGTATCTGTATATTGTTCATTTTGCAGTTCAAGAGGATCATATTCAGGAAGATGTTTCAGAAAAGAGCCGACCTAGGAAGATGTCCCGCTACATGGCCAATGAGGCGGCGGCTGTGGAGAAGAAGCGCCGGCAGCTCGAGCAGCAGGGCTGGCAAGCGTACCTGGCCGTCGCCAATGGTGTCAACGGCGGCCTCAATGGTAGCCTCAATGGAAACCTCAATGGCAAGCACTGAGATCTTCCAGTTTTTTTTTGTGCTGGCACGGCCAAGTTTCGATTTGTAGTACCAGCCATCGTTCCGGCTCGAACTTCTTTTCCTGCTACCAAAAGGTTTTGCTGAGGTAGTTCCTTGTTCGGAGAAGTCCCCTAATCTTGCCCTCAAGCCCCCTCGCGAACGATGGCGGGTGCTTTCTTGCTCTTTCTTGCGTGTTGCTTTTGGCACTGCCGTCTCTCGGCAAATTCGATCGATGCCCAGGGAGCAGTCTGGAGGGCTGATCCCTTGCATCTCCCTGTCCCCCCCCTGCATGGAGCCACCTCGACGACCTTTTGCAAGTCGATTTTGCAGCGTTGGCGTTGGAGCTTCAGTGAGCAGGTGCACGATCTTCGACAGAAGCCACAGTTACAGCCCTGAATCATAGGAGTGCAGATGCCAAAGCACCGTTTGCGATCGTGCAGCTGAACAGGAGCTCTGCTTTTGGACCCCTTTTGGTGCGGCCATGTACAGACCCACTGAGGGATTTGGGGGCCGCCGATGCGTTGAAGCATCTGCGACGTTTGTCGCAAGACCCCGGTATCCCATCCGAACTCGCTCAGAAACAGTAAACCCTAAACCCTAAACCCTACACCCTAAACCCTAAACCCTAAAAACCCTAAACCCTAAACCCTAAAGCCGCCGAAACCCGCCCTGACATCTGCTCCTGAGGCCTGACGCCCTTCTTGCCGAAATCCCCCCTCAAAAGCCCACATTCTAAACCGCAGAGTTGTCTTCGAGTGTCCCTCAAGAAGAGCCAAGAAGGGGTGCCAGAATTGGGCGCGTGTTGCGCAATGCGCATAGCTACTGCGCCTGCCACAAAGACCCTCAGCATCCCACCCTCCAGAGCAGTAGGGGTACTTGGAGGTTCATGGTACTTAGTAACTAATTATAACTGTACGTATAACCCACTTCTAAGCCCCTTAAGTGCCTTAAGATGGTTATAAGTACAGTTATCAGTACAGTTATAACTGGTTACTAAGTACTATGAACCTCCAAGTAAGTTTCTGGCCTGGGGTCGAAGAAGCCTAGGAGCCGCGGACATCACTTCCCACTCGGGCAGTTCACGTGTGGGATTAGGTGCATGTCCACTTTTCTGCTCATTCTTGGGGGGGGCCATCGGCATATGCTGGGCCCAAGCCATTTCCTCGTGAGCGCCCGCCCGCCCGTCCTCTTCGAACTTTTTCATCTCGATACCGACGCCATGGACAAGCGAACCGTTGGCTGCTTGGGCGGAGGGCAGCTGGGCCGAATGATGGTCTACGCTGCGCACCGGCTGGGAGTCTAGGCGGGCACTTTTGGGATATACTGTTTTTTTGCACTTTTTTCCTTCTGAATTGGGTTCAAGAAACTAAGAGGCCCATACTTAGGATATGTCTCTGATATATCTTTGTCAGGAGGGTTTGCGTATGGGGCCATATCCGAGGAGTGAAGATGTGCGTGCTCGATCCGCTTGGAGAGAAGTCTCCGGCCGGGCAGGTCGCAGAGATGTCGGTCATGGGCAGCTTCCAGGATGCCGACAAGGCGGGTAGATGCTCTCTAGACCCAAAATTTGTGGACCCTAAACCCATAGAGATCCCACAGTTTGGGGGCCCCACAACGCACCCACGGCAGGTTCGGGAGTTGGCGAAGAAGTGCGACATCCTCACTTTGGAGGTGGAGCACGTCAACGCGGAGGTGCTGGAGGAGCTCCATCAGGCGGGCGTTCCCGTGCAGCCTTTGCCCTTCGTGGTGAAGCTGATCCAGGACAAGTATGTCCAGAAGGTGCACCTGCAAAAGCATGGCGTGCCCCTGCCCGACTTCGAGAAGGTCGAAACCGAAGCTGACTTGCACAGCATCGGCGAGCGATTTGGCTACCCCATGATGCTGAAGAGCCGATACGGCGCCTACGACGGGAAGGGCAACGCCGTCGTGCCGAACGCGCAGGGCATCACGGCAGCCTTCGAGAAGCTTGGCGGCAATGTCGGCAAGAAGCTTTACGTCGAGAAATGGGCTCCTTTCAAGATGGAGCTGGCGGTCATGGTTGCCAGAGGAGTGGATGAGACCATGAACGTCACCATGCGCACCTACCCAGTGGTGCACACGGTGCAGCGGGACAGCGTTTGCTTCACTTGCCTCACCCCGCCGGTGGGAGTCACGCAGAAGCAGCAGGAACTGGCGCAGAAGATCGCCACGGACGCCATCAAGAGCTTCGGCGATGCCCGAGGCATCTTCGGCGTGGAGATGTTCCTTCTCGAGGACGGGTCGGTGCTCCTGAACGAGATCGCGCCCAGGCCGCACAACACAGGCCACTACACCATGGAAGCCTGCGGCGTCGATCAGTTCGAGCAGCACCTGCGTTGCGTCTTGGGCCTCCCCCTAGGTGACTGCCAGCTCCGCGTCGGTGGTGCCATGATGGTGAACATCCTGGGACAGGGTGAGACCCCCGAGATGGTGACGAAGACCATGGCGCCCCTAAGGCGGGCGCTGAACGTGCCGGATGCCGGCATCCACTGGTATGGCAAGGAGGGCTGTGTGAAGGGCCGGAAGATGGGCCACATCACCGTGACGGGCTTCACGCCGGCCAGTGCCTTGGAGCAGATCCGACCTGTCTTGGTGGCCTTAGATGGCGACGACGCCGCCGACAAGATGGATGTTCCCAGCAAGCCTTCGCCCAGCGTGGGCATCATCATGGGCAGCGACAGCGATCTTCCCACCATGAAGGATGCAGCTCAGGTTCTCAGTGACTTCGGCATCCCCTATGAGATCAGCATTGTCTCGGCCCACCGCACGCCCGAATACATGTATGAGTACGCGACCACCGCGGAAGCCCGAGGCATCAACGTGATCATCGCGGGGGCCGGCGGTGCCGCGCACTTGCCCGGGATGGTGGCAGCCCTGACGCCCTTGCCCGTGATCGGCGTCCCTGTGAAGTCTTCCACCCTCAGTGGCAACGACTCGCTGCTGTCCATCGTGCAGATGCCCAAAGGCATTCCCGTGGCCACGGTCGCCATCGGCAACGCGGCCAATGCCGGGCTCCTGGCCGTCCGTATCCTGGGAGCCGCCAACCCAGGACAGAGGCAGAAGCTGGGCAGGTCCTTGGGAGACTTTGTGTGTATATATACATATATGTATATGTATATGTATATGTATATGTATATGTATATGTATATGTAGATGTGTATGTGTATGTGTATGTGTATGTATATGTATATGTATATGTACATGTATATCTATCTGTGTATGTGTATGTGTATGTATATGTATATGTATATGTATATGTATATGTATATGTATATGTATATGTATATGTATATGTATATGTATATGTATGTGCATGTGTGTGTGTGTGTATCTGTATATTGTTCAATTTGCAGTTCAAGAGGATCATATTCAGGAAGATGTTTCAGAAAAGAGCCGACCTAGGAAGATGTCCCGCTACATGGCCAATGAGGCGGCGGCTGTGGAGAAGAAGCGCCGGCAGCTCGAGCAGCAGGGCTGGCAAGCGTACCTGGCCGTCGCCAATGGTGTCAACGGCGGCCTCAATGGTAGCCTCAATGGAAACCTCAATGGCAAGCACTGAGATCTTCCAGTTTTTTTTTGTGCTGGCACGGCCAAGTTTCGATTTGTAGTACCAGCCATCGTTCCGGCTCGAACTTCTTTTCCTGCTACCAAAAGGTTTTGCTGAGGTAGTTCCTTGTTCGGAGAAGTCCCCTAATCTTGCCCTCAAGCCCCCTCGCGAACGATGGCGGGTGCTTTCTTGCTCTTTCTTGCGTGTTGCTTTTGGCACTGCCGTCTCTCGGCAAATTCGATCGATGCCCAGGGAGCAGTCTGGAGGGCTGATCCCTTGCATCTCCCTGTCGCCACGCCTCCTGTGCTCCTTGCGCGTGATGCGTTCCGAAAACTTCACGGCCATCGTCGAACAGAACCCCCTTGCCCCCCTGCACGGAGCCACCTCGAGGACCTTTTGAGTCAATTTTGCGGCGTTGGCGTTTGAGCTTCAGTGTGCTAGTCAGGTGCACGATCTTCGACAGAAGCCACAGTTACAGCCCAGAATCAGAGTGCAGATGCCAAAGCACCATTGCGATCGTGCAGCTGAACAGGAGCTCTGCTTTTGGACCCCTTTTGGTGCGCGGCCATGTACAGACCCACTGAGGGATTTGGGGGCCGCCGATGCGTTGAAGCATCTGCGACGTTTGTCGCAAGACCCCGGTATCCCATCCGAACTCGCTCGGAACAAGAGCCACCGAAACCCCTAACCCCAAAACCCTAAACCCTAAACCCTAAACCCAAAACCCTAAATCCTGAACCCTAAACCCTAAACCCTAAACCCTAAACCCTAAACCCTAAACCCTAAACCCTAAACCCTAACATCTGTTCTTAGTCTCCCGGCAAGCTGTGAGACCTGACGCCCTTCTACCCAACCCCAAAGTTCCGGAAATCCTGACTCTTTTTTGGGGTTTCGGTTCCCTTTTAAGCTCCTTTAAACCAGACAAGGGGATCCTTTTCATTCCTGCTTCTAAGCCCAAAAGGGGCCTGTCTAAACCCTAAACCCTAAACCCTGAACCCGAAATCCGAAACCCTAAGCCCCACACCCTAAACCCTATAAACCAAATCCCCCACTGCATGCCTTGGAGGTGGAGAACTCGGGCATTGCCCAGGGCATGTTTCTGAAGCGGCAGAAGGTCATGCGTGAGGCCCAAGTAGGGTTTAGGGTTTAGGGTTTAGGGTTTAGGGTTTACCGCACAATTCGGAATATGCCTTACTTAAATCATATTAGGGTCCTTTTTATGATTTAGGATCTATTCTTGAATGAAGGGGTATTGGGCTCTTTGGCGGGTTGTTTTTGAAAATGTCGCGGCTTCCGAAATCAGGGGGGGGGGGGGGGTACCTTATTGCAGAAGGGGTCTTTATGATAAGAGGAGCCTATTCTTTGGGAGTCTATATCAAGGTCCCTCATTTTCGCAAGCCGCCCATATAGCTGAGATCAGAATAGTTTACCTATTAATTAATCTGCATGAGCCTCCAAGTCAGGTTGGGTTTCGACCTGCTCCCGCCCCCCAGCAAAGCCGAAATATCCGATGCCTGCTGCGCGAATGATGAGAGCGGCCATGTGGCGGTGAGAAACGGAATAGATTAAGGAATAAGGATAAACAAATAGGTGCATGCAAACCATACCTGTACATGTAAACATGCATATAAGCATACATGTATATGTGTAAGTTGCACACACACAGACACACTAGCGTGGAACCTGCTGTTGCAGAGAGTACTTGCAGAAGCCCTAGACCCCATGGGCTGCCCCAAAGGGTCCATGTACCCATATGGTATGCACTTGGGCTTTAAAGGGGGCCTAAATATATACTGTATAGGTCCACGAACCCGAAACCCTAAACCCTCAACCCTAACCCTAAACCCTAAACCCTAAACCCTAAACCCTAAACCCTAAACCCTAAACCCTAAACCCTAAACCCTAAACCCTAAACCCTAAACCCTAAACCCTAAACCCTAAACCCTAAACCCTACGACCTGAGGGTCTTGTGGTCGCTGGGAAGGATGGCATGGCTCACCTTGGGCCTGATGACCTGCGAGTCGGAGAGCAGGCAGGTTTAGGTTCTTAGGGTGTAAGTGGGGAAAAATGGGTTTTAGCAAGAAAGTAGTGTAGGGAAAAGGCAGGTTTAGGTTGTTAGGGTGTAATGTCGGGTTTAAGTGGGAAAAATATTGGTTTTAGCAAGAAAGGAGTGTAGGGTTTAGGATTTTGAAAGGTTCCGGCAGTAGGGTGTTCAGGGCCTTCACACCTTCCCTCCCTCTTTCCCGCCACTTGTCTCACTTGCGCTTTTTGAGCACCTGGCCCTCCCCTGATGTTGGTCCAGAAATGGCATCAGACCCTGAACCCTACTTGGAGGTTCATGGTACTTAGTAGCAAATTATAAGTGTACTTATACCCCACTTATAAGCCCCCAAAGTGCCCCAATATGCTTATACGTACAGTTATAAGTACAGTTATAGTTAAATACTAAGTACCATGAACCTCCAAGTATGCGCAAGGGGGGGGGTTTACAGCCAAAGGCGATGTTAAGGCCGTATCAGACTCAGGATTCGTTGACTGTGAGGAAGACTTGACAGCTTGAAAGGGACCACAAGACAGGGACTGCAATGGGCATGCGGTAACAAACGGCTTGTCCCGAGGGGTTCCAGTGGCGGGGCAAGAAGCAACCAGAAGGCACGCAACCCTAAACCCTAAACCCTAAACCCTAAACCCTAAACCCTAAACCCTAAACCCTAAACCCTAAACCCTAAACCCTAAACCCTAAACCCTAAGCCCTAAACCCTAAACCCTAAACCCTAAACCCCAAACTCTAAACCCCAAACCCTAAACCCTAAACCCCAAACCCTAAGCCCTAAGCCCTAAGCCCTAAACTAAACCCTAAACCCTAAACCCTAAACCCTAAACCCTAAACCCTACCAAGAACCAAGGGGGCATGGTCGTGCAGGTGAGCATCAACGGGCGGTGTCTGCAGATCAACGGATGTGACCGCTTCACCAGATGGTTCTACGAGCCGCTGTCCTCGTTGTGTGTGTGTGTGGGTTTAGGGTTTAGGGTTTGGGGTTTGGGGTTTAGGGTTTAGGGTTCAGGGTTTAGGGTTTAGGGTTTCGAGGTACCCGCGGGCCGGGGTTTTTGTCGTACATTTATGAAGGGACTCTAAGGGACTACTATTACTAGTAGAAAAACTTGCGACCCGTGCGTGATCCTAAGTCCCTCAACCTGAGTTTCGTTCGCACTTCCTTGCCGGCCTTACTCTGTTGAGCAGCCTGAGTTGTCCTCGCACAAACGTACCCTAAACCCTAAACCCTAAACCCTAAACCCTAAACCCTAAACCCTAAACCCTAAACCCTGAACCCTGAACCCTCAACCCTGAACGCTAAACCCATTCTTCCAAGGCAGAACGGCATTGAGTTGTCGCCAGATGAAGAGGTGGTCAAGGCCACAGGGTACGAAAGTCTAGGGTTTAGGGTTAAGGGTTTAGGGTTTAGAATGCGATTTTAGCCTCTCTATTTTTTTGGGGGGGGGGGGGGGATTCGCGGTGCCTTTAATCATGCTGGTTGATTCAACAGCTTAAGCTTGTATGCCCAACAATGAAAAGTGAAGCTGTTCAGCCTATTTGTGTTGGGGGCGGGCGGAAGGGAAGAAGCCTTCCCGCGCCCGACCCGCGCGATCTCTTCAGGGCGGAGGGGGCAAGCAATCTTCATTTCCAATCCAAAAGGGGAAAAATGTCTGCCTGGCTTCTAGCCCGGATGAAGCTGAGGGTCTAGGATTCAGAGGTTCTTGCCCAAAGCCCGCAACCCCTGAACCCCAAACCCCCATGGCTCTCCAGCAAAACGGGCCGCAGGACGCGTGGCAGGAGAAGTACAAGCTCCGCAAGCTCACGGAGCGAGGCGGGCTGCCCACAACCAAGTCGGCCTACAACGCACCTTCGCTGCAGAAAACGGAATTGTAGGGCTCTTAAGGGAAGGGGGGGTTCAAGGCGGGTAGGAACCTAGGGAAGCTTAGGGAGCCTTGGGTTTTTATACCCCCCCCTTGAATCCCCCTCCCTTAAGAAGCCTATGTTGGAAGCTATTGGAATTGGGTTAAGGGTAGGATTTGGGGCCAGTTTAGGGTGCCCTTGTTTTGCCAATAGAGCGGTGAGATGCGAGATCATCCGGGTAGGATTTGGGGCCAGTTTAGGGTGCCCTTGTTTTGCCAATAGAGCGGTGAGATGCGAGATCATCCGAGTCTTTTCCCAAACCCTGCCTGCAGGGTGTACTCAAGTACCACACCCAAAACACCTTGGTTCAGGGTTTAGGGTTTAGGGTAGGTATGCTCAATCTCACAGCCATTTGCGCCCGCATCTGTGCTTGTAGCTTCAGTATTGACCTTGAAGAAGCTCGAGCCTAGAAAAGCCCGAAGACCCTCCATGCCAAGAGATCCCAATGCCCGCTATTTGAGGAACATATGAATTTTCTACCACCAAAGGGGGCCAACGGTGAACATATCCCTCCCCCCCCCGGGAGTTTCCATCAACATTTAGGATAGCTGCTGGCACGCTTACTCCCTTTCTTAAGTCAAGGTCAGCCCCTGAACTTGGCCCTAAACCCAAAATCCCTCAACACTACAGGGATCTGCTGTTGGAGGTTCATGGTACTTAGTACCTAATTCTAACTGTACTTCTAAGCCCACTTACAAGCCCCTTAAGTGCCCTAAGTAAGATGGCTATAGTACAGTTAGAAGTACATTTAATAATTGGTTACTAAGTGCCATGAACCTCCAAGTACAGGGTATCTTCCTTGTTTGAGGTATTGCGCTCGTTGGGCCCCCCAAGCGCGGACCTCCCAGGCTTGCCCCAGCACTAGACCCAAACCCGAAACCCGAAACCCGAAACCTTAAACCCTAAACCCTAAACTCTAAACCCTAAACCCGAAACCCTAAACCCGAAACCCTAAATCCCTCGGCTTCCAAGGCAAAGCAGCTTGCCAAGTACCAGATCGGGGCGCCCCCCGCCGACGTGAAGTTCAGCCAGTTCCTCCTCAACGACAGGACCTGGCGGCTGCTGGGGGGGGGTTTGGGGGTTTAGGGTTTAGGGTTCAGGGTTTAGGGTTTCGGGTTCAGAGTTTAGAGAAAAGGGTTTGGAGTTTAAGGTTTAGGAGTTGAGGGTTCTATGTGCCTTTCGCAGCTCAGGCCATGGGTTCGAGTTCCCACGGTAGACCCCAGACCATAAACCCTGAAAGCCCCCACAGAATGTCATGGGGACGTAAGAGTTCTCCAGGACCCTTCGGCCTGTGAGACAGGTCACTTGGGTTTGACCCTAAACCCTAAACCCTAAACCCGAAACCCGAAACCCTAAACCCTGAACCCTAAACCCTAAACCCTAAACCCTAAGCCGGTTTTTGGGTTTGGGGATATAGGGGTCCCTTGGGCAGGAAAGTGCTGCGCTTCAAGGCGTTCTGGGACGACCACACTCCGCGGCTTGGCGCCGAAAAGGATTTAGGGTTTAGGGTTTAGGGTTTGGGGTTTGGGGTTTGGGGTTTAGGGTTTCGGGTTTAGGGTTTCGGGTTTGGGGTTTAGGGTTTCGGGCTTAGGGTTTGTTTAGGGTTTAGGGTTTCGGGTTTGGGGTTTAGGGTTTCGGGTTTAGGGTTTGTTTGGGGTGTAGGGTTTGGGGTTTAGGGCTTGGGGTTTGGGATTTAGGGGGTGGGGTTTGGGGCAAGAAGCGTTTAGGGTTTAGGGTTTAAATAGGGTTTGGGGTTTATGGTTTAGGGTTTGGGGTTTGTGGGTTTTAGGGCTTAGCTCGAGCCCGGTTGCAAAAACTAAAAACAAAAAGGGTTTAGCTCGAAAGGACCTGAGCCCTCCGCAACGACGTTTGGATTTGGGGTGTAGGGGTTTAGGGGTTTAGGGGTTTAGGGGTTTAGGGTTTAGGGGTTCAGGGGTTTAGGGGTTTAGGGGTTTAGGGGTTTAGGGGTTTAGGGTTTAGGGTTTAGGGTTTAGGGGTTTAGGGGTTTAGGGTTTAGGGTTTAGGGTTTAGGATTTCGAGGACTGGTGGCTTGAGGTTTGCTGCACCTACGGTATGTCTCTGCTCCAGAACCCAAGCCTTTGAAGCTTCCATTAACTACCAATTGCTTAAGAACCTCCCCGCCCCCCCCCCCCCCCACAAAAAAAAAAAAACAAATGTTCCTTACAAGGGCAACATAGGGATTATCATACCCACAAAAAAAAAATGGTTCCTTACAAGGGCAACATAGGGATTATCATATTTTTGATTTTTTTTTTTAGGGTTCTTAGAACAGGCCCTAGAAGGGACCCGTAGTCTCCCCGATATCGCCCCTATATACACCTTGTATCGTCCCATATGCCTAAGTAGCCCCGAAATAACCCCCCTAAATAGCCCAAATAAGGGGAAATAACCCCCTAAATAGCCCCGAAATAACCCCCTAAATAGCCCAAATAAGGGGGTCCCTCCTTTAGTCCCTTGATTCCAGGTACGGCGCACGCATCTATTTCATCATCCACTACTTCCTTGCCGACAACACGGTGGAGATCAACGAAGCACACTGCAGGAATTCCGGCCGTGATGCCTATCCAGCCAATGCCTGAGAGTGGGGTCCTCTAAATCCTAGACCCTAAGCCCTAAAACCCTAAACCCTAAACCCTCAAACCCTCAAACCCTAAACCCTAAACCCTAAACCCTAAACCCTAAAACCCTAACCCTAAACCCTAATCCCTAAAACCCTGAGACCCCTATCTCCAAACCCTAAACCCTAGCTTAGGGGGGGTTTGGGTCGAGCTTCGGTTCCGCCTCATGTCAGACCTCACACCCAAAAACCCCAAGCGGCACCCTAAACCCTACACCCTATACCCTAAACCCTAAACCCTAAACCCTAAACCCTAAACCCTAAACCGTGGCCTATTAACCTATACCCTTTACCTTCTACCCCTGAACCCGAAGCCCCCTCTCCCATAGACCTAGGCAGGACTCGGAGTCAACAGGCCCCTTTTTGCACCCTAAGCCCTATAACCCCCCAAAACGCAAAAACGACAGCTTGAAAAGCTTTAGATTCTAACGCCCTAAACCCTAAACCCTAAACCCTAAACCCTAAACCCTAAACCCTAAACCCTAAACCCTAAACCCTAAACCCTAAACCCTAAACCCTAAACACTCTAAAACCTAAACCCGAACCCTCTCCCGCCTGAGATGTTCATGAAGCGCGGCCCGCTCTCCAAGAAGAACGAGGTGCTGGCTGTCCCAGGCATCCGCCTGCCAAGAGCGTTGCGTAGTATAGGGGTTTAGGGTTTGGGGTTTAGGGTTTAGGGTTTAGGGTTTGGGGTTTAGGGTTTCGGGTATAGGGGTCGGAAGAATCACTAGTGTTATTCCCTTATCGTCCCTTTATGACTATATTATAATACCCCCCCCCCAATGCCCCATTCTAATTGTTAAGTCCCCTATAGTAGCGGTTTAGGGATGTGAGGGTTCAAAGGACTTAAAGGTCTTAAGGGGTTTAAAGGAAGGGCCTGAAGGGCTTAGAGGGCTTGAGGGGTTTAGCAATTTGAGGGTTGCAAGGGTTTCAAGGGTTTCAAGGGCTTGAAGGGCTTTGAGGGCTTGAAAGGCTTGAAGGGCTTTAAGGGTTTAAAGGTCTTGAAGGGTTGAAAGTGTTTAAAGAGTTTTAAAGGTCTAAAGGGGTTGAAGGGCTTAAAGGGCTTATAGGGTTCAGGGTTTAGGCTGCAGAAGAAGGGTTTAAAGGGTTTTGGCAGCAAAAGTGGTTGAGGCTTGACATCGTGGCTCTCAGGCAGGGGATGCCGACAGCAGAAACCCGATACTTTAGGGTTTAGGGTTTAGGGTTTAGGGTTTAGGGTTTAGGGTTTAGGGTTTAGGGTTTAGGGTTTAGGGTTTAGGGCTCTCTCAGGGTAAAACCTGAAATCTTTCAAGCCCTAAATCCTAAACCCTAACTAGCCCTAAGCCCTAACCCCGCCTGTACTCGAGGCCCTAAAGCCTCAGCCCCAAAGGAAGGCCAAGCCCCCATGCAGCAGAGTTTTCTCAACACCGTAAAGTGCTTGGAACCGGGCCCTGGTGTATAATTAGGGTTTCGGGTTTCGGGTTTAGGGTTTAGGGTTTCGGGTTTAGGGTTTAGGGTTTAGGCTTTAGGGTTTAGGGGGGTCAAAAAGGGTTTGGGGTTTAGGGTGCACCCGAGAATATTGGAGGCATGCTCGCTGCGGAGGGCCAGATCTACTTTCCCCGTGTCTCTTGGGCTGCAGTTTGGGACTCATCAGGCATCAAGCGGCCCAAAGACCCCTAGTAGAGGGGTCGGAATAATGACTAAGAGCATTCCCTTATGGTCCCTATGTAACTATACTCTAATAGCCCCCAAAACCCTATTCAAGTTATTTAGGCCCCTAGATTACACCCCCACCGCCTTGGCACGACCTTCCGATCCGACGCACGATGCTCACGAGCTTTGCCATATCCTTGCCCGACGGGACCCATACTGCTCCCTATCCCGCCTTTGTAACCCTAAACCCTAAACCCCAAACCCCTGAGTGTCAGCTGGGCGGGTGGCAAAAAAACCAAAACGCCAAACCCTACACCCTAAACCCTAAACCGTAAACCCAACGCAGCCCAGGGCCCAGGGCATAGCTAAACAACAGTATCAGAGGGCAAGAGCTCCCCACCCCACCCCCCCACCATGCCCTTGTGAAGTCGCAGCCCTTCTGCCGACCAATTAAGTTATCACCGCAGCCCACAAGTGCGCCTAAACCCTAAACCCTAAGTCCTGAACCCTAAACCCGACACCCTAAGCCCTAAGCCCCAAGCCCTAAGCCCTAAGCCCTAAGCCCTAAACCCTAAACCCTAAACTCGCAGCCCACGAACCTGAAAGTTTTTCGAGGCTTTGAGGTTTCATGGGTTCGGGTTCCGCGAAGCGGACGACTCAGTGAGCCCGGCCGTACCTCTTGCATGCCGATGGTGGTTCTTCGACGATTGCTTCGTTACTACTTGCTTCACTTCCCTTGGCCCTCAAAAATCTCCAGTTTTCATATTGGGGTCTACGAAAATAAAGGACCCTAATGCAGACCCCAAATAGTAGGATTCCCCTTCTCATAAGGACCAAGCAAACAGCACCCCGAATTTTCGGAAACCCCCCCATATTGGACAGGACTTGATCCCTAAACCCTAAACCCTAAACCCTAAACCCTAAACCCTATATTCCCCTAGGAACCCCCTCCAAATTGGACAGGACTTGATGGTGGGCCAGTCCATCGACGTTTGGGGCCGCAAGCTCGTGCTCTGGGATTGCCCCGTGGCCTTAAGAAGGTGGACTTCTCGAACCCTAAGGGCATTTAACCCTACCCCCCAAAAAAATAGGTAAACAAATAAGTAAATAGTATATTTTCTTCAATAAGCACGTGTATATGTATATATATATATATGTATATGTCACCACCGAAAAGTAGAAAAGAAGCGATGAGGGACCTCCTTCCTTATTTCAAGTATAACCACAAACGATTGCAAGGGGGTTCGCATCTTGACCCTAAAGCCCCAATTTAACCTTAAACCCTAAAACCTGCCCACTGCAAAAAACAATACATAACAGCAAACAAACCCTAAACCATGAACCATAAACCCTCAACCCTCAACCCTGAACTCAAAACTCAAAACCCCAAACCCCAAACCCTAAACCCTAAACTCTAAACCCTAAACCCTAAACCCTAAACCCTAAACCCTAAACCCTATGAAGCCGAAGCGGCTGGAAGCACCCTAGAGCTCTGAGAGCCCAGCGCCCCAGGGTTCAAGAATTTTAGGTTTTCAGGGCCTTAGGGTTTACGGTTTTTGGGGTTTAGGGTTGTTTAGAGTTTAGGGTTTAAGGTTTGGGGTTTAGCCTTAAGGTTTCGGGTTTGGGGTTTAGGGTCGTCCAGGGTTTGGGCTCATTTAGGGTTTAGGCTTGGGGTTATTTAGGGTTTAGGGGTATTTGGGGTTTAGGGTCATGTAGGGTCATTTCGGGTTTTGGGTGCCTTAGCGTGCGATGCGTTCCAGCCCTTCCTCACCACAAGGGCTCGGGTACGCAGGAGAGGCAGTAGATGCTGACACTGCAGCTTTGGGGCCTTTAGCCACGGCGGCAAGAATGCTTCAGCTAAGCCTGGCAGTTGGACCCGACACCCAAACCCTAAACCCTAAACCCTAAACCCTAAACCCTAAACCCTAAACCCTAAACCCTAAACCCTAAACCCTAAACCCTAAACCCTAAACCCTAAACCCTAAACCCCCTAAAAGTAGCCACGAAGCCCACTGGTGCTTAGTGGGGCATGAGGGAACTGGGTACCTGACATCCCCATGATATTCAGAAAAGGGGGTTGTATAGGGTACCCAATTCCCGCTTTCCCTACCCAGAAGCAGGTAAGACCTACTTTTAACATCCCTTTAACAGGGATGTAAGGGGTATCCTAACTCCCTCACCTTCAAGTCGTCGTGATGGTTTGCAGGCACCCTAAACCCTAAAGCCTAAACCCTAAACCCTAAACCCTAAACTCTGAGCCCTAAACCCTAAACCCTAAACCCAAAACCCTAAACCCCAAACCCTAAACCCTAAACCCTACACCCTAAACCCTGAATGCCATGAGACAAGGCGACGAGGCCACGCAGAAGTTCTACAAGGAGTACATGGGCATCGACCAGTGGAAGGCCCAACACCACCGCCATACGTCAAGCAGTTCCCTAAGCCCTAGGCCCTAAGCCCTAAACCCTAAACCCTAAACCCTAAGCCTTAAACCCTAAACCCTAAACCTCAAGTTTTGAATCTCAGCTCTTGATGCCTTTGCCTTGGCTCCTTTTGCAGCTTTCAATGCTGTGACCCTCGGCGTAACCCTAAACCCTAAACCCTAAACCCCTAACCCTAAACCCTAAACCCTAAACCCTAAACCCCAAACCCCAAACCCCAAACCCCAAACCCCAAACCCCAATCCCCAAACCCTAAACCCTAAACCCTAAACCCTAAGCCCTAGAGAGTCTTCTCGGGAGTTGCATGTCAGATGCTGCCAGAGAGGGCCTGATATAGGGGTTTAGGGTTCAGGGATTAAGATTTAGGGTTTAGGGTTTAGGGTTTAAGGTTTAGGGTTAGGTTTAGGGTTTATTGTTTCAGGTTTGGGGTTTAAGGTTTAGGGTTTAGGGTTTTCGGTCTTCCCTTATGGTACCTTGAAAGTTGTACTGTAATAACCCCCAAAACCCTATTCTAACTACTCAGGCCCTAAATGAGGCACGCAATCCTTTGGTCATGGGGAGGCTGCCCCCACACTGGCCGGAAGCGACCGGCCAGCAGCTATCTGCTCATGAAGAAACCCTAAACCCTAAACCCTAAACCCTAAACCCTAAACCCTAAACTTCTAAATCAGAAACCCTAAGCCTCAACACCCCTAAACCCTTAAATCATATAAACATCCGTCTTGTGATTTGAGGCATATTGCTTAATTCAGGGGTAGATCTTCCCCGCTCCCGCGCAGGGCCGCGTCGACGTCTCCGAGAAGCCAGCCACTCCGCCCTCATCAAAGGGGGCCTAAACCCTAAACCCTAAACCCTAAACCCTAAACCCTAAACCCTAAACCCTAAACCCTAAACCCTAAACCCTAAACCCTAAACCCTAAACCCTAAACCCTAAACCCTAAACCCCCTAAACCCTAAACCCTAAAACCCTAAACCCTAAACTCTAAACCCTAAACCCTAAACCCTAAACCCTAAACCCTAAACCCTAAACCCTAAACCCTAAACCCTACACCCTACACCCTACACCCTAAACCCTTCCCCCTAGACCCCCAATGGCCTCAAGCTTTTAGGCGCAAGGGGGTTTTAGGGGAATTAGGGCCCACACCTCAAAGCCAAATTCCATCCTGAAGAATGAAGTGTGAACTCTAGACCCTAGACCCTAGACCCTAGACCCTAGACCCTAGACCCTAGACCCTAGACCCTAAACCCTAAACCCTAAACCCTAAACCCGCCAAATCCCCCGAAGCCCAGGTGACTCACCTGAAGTTAAAGCCTCCGCCGCACACGGGTGTGGGCCGAGAAGAGGAGCCCATGTGCAAGGGGGTTCAGGGGTTTAGGGTTTAGGGTTTAGGGTTTAGAGGAGTTGGGCTCAAGGCACGTACGGGTTCCTGATAGTGATTTAGGACATCAGGTACACGTCCCGGCAAAGAACCGTTGATGGGTTATGTAGGGCAAGTGCTTCCCCCGCTCCCTATTCAGAACCGGGAAGTTTAGGGGTTTCGCGGATTGGGTTTATAGGGTTACCCTAAACCCTAAACCCTAAACCCTAAATAAACCCAAAACCCTAAATTAGGATTCACGGTTTGGGGCTCAAAAAAAGGCCCCAACGATAGTTTGTCAACCCGTCTGTGGCCTCAGCCCTAAGCAGCCTGCTGGGCCCATAAAGTAAAACGTATCCTGCTCCGACATCCCACCGTCCGACCCTAAGCCCTAAGCCCTAAGCCCTAAGCCCTGAGCCCTAAGCCCTAAGCCCTAAGCCCTAAGCCCTAAGCCCTAAACCTTGCATCAAAGTAGACAGCCGGAAGAGGACTCCTTGATCAACTGCCAGATGGTCCAGCCGAAGCCGCCGAAGAAAGACCTGGAAAGGCACGACCCTCACAGTTTAGGGACCCTAAACCCTAAACCCTAAACCCTAAACCCTAAACCCTAAACCCTAAACCCTAAACCCTAAACCCTACACCCTGAACCCTAAACCCACCTTGGGAAGTGCACCCTTATGCTAGCAGTCCTTAGGAGGGATGTTAGTACCCCTTACTAAAGTCCCCTTCAAGGACTGTTGGTATAAGGGGGAACATCCCCCAATCTACATGAATGTGATATAAGGGTTTCGGGTTTAGGGTTTAGGGTTTAGTAAGGATCGAAATGGTGATTTCAGTGGCAGGATTGAGCATGCTTCAATTTTTCATTGCCCTTGATCCGTGCATAATCCTTATACAGCCATAGAAGCTGAGTTTCTATAGCGCCCAAACCTATCCCAGGTTTGAGGCATATTCCTCAAGTCAGGGGTATTGTGCTCTTTGGGTAAGGTCGGATGGTAGCCTAGAGCAGAGCTAGCTGAACTCAACAAGGCATGGGTTCTCTGAGCCGTTCTCTGACCAAAGGACCCCCAAGATTTCTGGGTTAAGGGTTTAGGGTTTAGGGTTTAGGGTAATACCTCAAATTGTTTCTGCAGGCTTATGATCTACACCGGGGAAGTCTTGCGCTTCGAGTGCAACATGGTGCGGCTTGGCACAGCACAGGATCCGGCAGACTCGGCTCTGGCCTAGGGTGGAGCGTTTCGCCGGTTTCGAGGGAAGTCGGGCCCAAGATATACCCTTTAAGGGATTCACAAGGGTACCTCATTCCCCCATTCCCTTCTTTCCAACAGTAGGTTCTGGGATCCCCCGTAGAGGGTGTGTGGGGGGGCTTGGTCTACAGGTGGAAGATGCAGCAGGCCGGCCGAAAGGACCCTAACCCCTAAACCCTACACCCTAAACCCTAAGTCCTAAGCCCCAGCTTTTTGTTCAGAGATCGTTGTTTCGGATTATGGGTAGTGAGTGTGTCTTTTTGGGAAGGGACTGTGGGCTGCCTCGGGGCCCCTTTTGCGAGCTGATGACATGTGTACCCACAACTGTTCCCTGCGGAGTGATCCAAGAGGGGGTCTGCTAGGCGGGTGGCAACAAAACCCTAAATCCTGAACCCTGCACCCTGAACCCTAAACCCTAACCCTAAACCCCTTCAATCCGAAGGTCGCGCATGCAGCGGGGATAGGGCCCCTTGGACCCCAGAGCACCCTAGAAGCCTTGCGCCCAAAGCTCTGGGGCAAGAAGGGTTCCTGGGTAGGCTTTAGGGTTTAGGGTTTGGGGTTTAGGGTTTTCGGTTTAGGGTTTTCGGTTTACGGTTTACGGTTTAGGGTTTAGGATTTAGGGTTTAGGGTAGGCCCCTTGGGATACTTTATACTTCCATTGGCTTGAAGAGGTTCATATTTTATGAAGACTTTTCAGAGACCCTAAGCCCTAAAACACCTAAACCTGCCTAACCCTGAACCCTACACAGGGTGTACGCGGCCAACCTATCTTCCCCAGGAATGGCGAGCCGGAAGACGAGTTGCGAAAGCTGGTTATCGCATACTACCCAGCGGACGGTGACGTAGCGGTCTTTGAGGCACCCCGCGCTGCTTTGTTCAGGGGAGTTTTAGGGTTCAGGGTTTAGGGTTTAGGGTTTAGGGTTTAGGGTTAGGGTTTAGGGTTTAGGGTTTAGGGTTTAGGGTTTAGGGTTTAGGGTTTAGGCTTTAGGCCCTCTCAACTCCTGCACCCGAAACCCCTACACCCCTAAAACCCTAAACCCTGAACCCCAAGTCCTAAAGCAGCAGCCCTAAAGTCCAACAGGCTGTTGGGGGAAGTGGAGCCGTAAACCTGAAAGTGCCAAAGGCCCTGAGGGCCTCAAAGCCCAAGCGTCTGTTTAGGGTCTAGGGTTTTTAGGGTTTCGGGTTTAGGGTTTAGGGTTCAGGGTTCAGGGTTTAGGGTTTAGGGTTTACAGGATTGTTTCATGTTTGTAGGGGCGGAAGCCCGACGCCCAAAACGTTAAGACCTTACAGGGGGATTTGTAGCAGCGCCCCCGTTGAGCTCTCGGAAGTCAGCCAGCACAAAATGCCCATGGCTTTTGAAGGCCGTCGTGAAGCTAGGCAACGTTAGGGAAGCTTAGGGAGCCTTAGGGAGTCGTGAGGAGTATTTAGGAACCTTGGGTTACATACCCCCCCTTGAACCCCCCCTCCCTTAGGAACCCTATACTTGGAGGTTCATGGGTAGCTATAAGTAAGGTTATAAATTCCTTAAAGAGGGTTCTAAGTATAGCTACCATGCTTACGACCGTACTTGTAATTACCCATGAACCTCCATGTAATGCAACCCAAGCTCATTATGTGTTTGCATCCCAGGCCGTTTGGAACGCGGGTCGAAACTCAAAAGCCGACAGTTTGGGATGTTCCCCCTTGTACTAACAGTCCTGAATAGGGATAAGCACAGGGGGTACAAAAAGACTGTTAGCACACATCCCAATCGACCGTTCCTGAGGCATGGCTCGGTTGTTCTAGCCCGGAGCCAAAGAAAGTTCTCGGAGCTTATGATTGAACTCCCTGTAGCAAACAAGGTACCCCAAGAGCCCCGTACCCCTTAGTTAAGGAAGATACCTTAAAGTCACATTAGAGTCCCTATTCTGTTTTAAGGCAAATTTCCCAATTAAGGGGCATTGGGCTCTGTGGGTAGGGAGTCCCAAAGCAGAAGCCGCAGTCTCACCCCCCGGACCTGACCCCTAGGCGCCTGTGCGGAACAGTGGGCACATGGGCGGCAAGTTTGCGGACAAGCGGAAGATCAAGAATCCGGACACCGGAGAGTACTTCAAGCTCGAGGCAGCCTGCTTTCTTCTTTTCTTTTACACTGCGGGGGGGGGGGGGGATTCAGGGTTTATTATGTTCATCCTAAGCCCGAAACCCTACTAAGGGTGGGTCTCATGCTGGGGATGCCAAGAAGTACCTTCCTTCCTCTTTTTGAGTGTTGAGATCCCTTAGATTGAAATCCCTTAGACAGAAGCTGGGCGCCTTTTGATTTGTAGAGTTTAGTTTGGGGTTTAGGGTTTAGGGTTTAGGGTTTAGGGTTTAGGGTTTAGGGTTTAGGGTTTAGGGCTTAGGGTTTAGGGTTTAGGGTTAGGGTTTAGGGTTTAGGGTTTAGGGTTTAGGGTTTAGGGTTTAGGGTTTAGGGTTTAGGGTTTAGGGTGCCGGCAACGCCCTCAGTCCGGCTGCAAAAAAGGGTTTAGGGTGCCACCCCAGATACGGGATTCAGGACTTGTGTGTGATGGCTAGCCACGTCGTAGGCTGCATGGTGAGGGTGCTAAACTTGGTGGCGATGGCGATGTCTGCCTCCGACACCCGCAAGTAACCCTTAACTTCCGGCTGTAAGGGTTTAGGGTTTAGGGTTTAGGGTTTAGGGTTTAGGGTTTAGGGTTAGGGTTTAGGGTTTAGGGTTCCCCCCTCAAGCACCAGCAAATCAAACCTACAGGGAGGCCAGCTATGCATGGGTTTCCCTACTACCCAACCTTCCCCCCTCTATCCTACCCCCCCTACTTGGAGGTTCATCGTACTTATTATAAGTGCCCTGATATGGTTATAAGTACAGTTATAAGTATAGTTATAATTAGTTACTAAGTGCCATGAACCTCCAAGTAGGCCCCCCTTCGATAACGTTAACTAGGCTTAAGTATCCCTTAATAGCCTTGATTAAGGGGGGTGGGGGGGTGGGGGTAGTATAGAGAGAGGGGGGTAGTAGGGCAACGGACTTGCAGCCCAAGTCTTCTATCCAAATTTCGTGATCTTGTACATACATGAACAATAAATATGTATGTAACTACTAAACAGCCAAAATAAATCAGTTGCAAGCACATAGTAATCCTGAACAAAGCGTCTAATATATTGTACCATGGTATTTTGTTATTCCTACTTCTCTACCTAGAACCAGAGAGCCCCTCCCTGTAGATCCCTACCAACTCTGGCCCAGGACTTCTTTGTCGGCCAGACGGTCACCGTAGCGGCACAGCCACTTCAGATCGTAAGAGCAGACGAGCACTGCTTGCAATACCTCGAGGCCCCTTGCATGAAGATCAGGGGCGTGCGCGGTGTGGGGTTTGGGCTGCAGGGCTCAGAGCATCTGCGCATCCTAGGAATCCTCTCGCATTGTGTTCGAACAAAAATGCTTTGGAGAGCATAAGCTAGGTTTGGGGTTTAGGGTTCGGGGCCGTGCCTAGACCTCAAATTGTAGCTCCTTCTGTGCAAAGGGCATATCTAAGTCTATGGCTAGCCTGGTATCATAAGACAAGCAGGTACCCTGAACAAAAAGAAGCTACAGCTGGGGGCCCAGAAACACCCCAAACGGGTGCTTGGGCCCGTTTTGCTGTTAGAAGCACTCCTGGCCTTGCCACGACTTCTTCAGAGCCTGTCTAGCTCCTCAGTTCTGCCTTACTAATTCTCTCGATCAGTGTTAGGGATCCTTTTACTTTTTGGGTTATGGGCTTTCTTATATATGAACAAAAAGGATCCTTTCTTCTTCCTAGGGGAACAGGGATTAAGTTCTTGGCAGGGAACTAGGGAATCAAGTGCCTGAACATAATTAAGTAGATGGGCCTTAGGTACCCGATCGGAAGCTCCCGACGGTGAACGAGTATTATGTCCTAGCGTCGCAAGGTCGAGTCCACACCCCACACAGTTGCCATTACGATGCTTGCGACCTAGGGTTTTGGGTTTCGAAACCCTAAACCCTAAACCCTAAACCCTAAACCCTAAACCCTAAACTCTAAACCCTAACCCCTAACCCCTAACCCCTAACCCCTAACCCCTAACCCCTAACCCCTAAACCCTAAACCCTAAACCCTAAACCCTAAACCCTAAACCCTAAACCCTAAACCTAGGGGTGAAGCCCACAACAGCCCTGAGACCTTGGCCCAGGCCCGGCCCCGCGAGTTTCCCTTCGCGGACCCCGTGGCGTGCGCGCAGCGCGTGGCGCCCCTCGCCGGCGAGCCGGAGATGCAGGACCCACAAGGCCAGGTCGGTGGTTGGGGGTTTAGGGTTTAGGGTTTCGGTTTTAGGGTGCAGCTCCTGAATGAAGGCCCTAAACCCGAGCCTCTAAACCATAAACCCGAGACCCTAAACCCTAAACACTACACCCTAAACCCTAAGCCCTAAACCCTAAAGAATACGCTACCCTACACTCTAAACCCGACGCCCCACACCCTAAACCACTCTTGGGTCTAATCCTCTGAGTGATTGGGGTATTGAAGTCTCTGGGTTGGTTCTGTCTTGAAGAAATGCTGCGGAAACGAGCTCTCCGCAGTGTTTAAGTTTTGGGGTTTAGGGTTTAGGGTTTCGGGGTTTAAGGATTTGAGGGAGACTTCGTTGAAAAAGGGGTTTACGGGTTCGGGGGTTTGGTTTATAGGGCTTCGGGTGATAGGGTTTGGGGTTTTAAGGGTTGAGGGCTGGTTTATGGTGCAAGGTTTACAGCCGTTTCACAAAGATAGGAATGTTTGCAGCTGTCTCAACCTATTGCCCTTCGGGTGGGTTCGGAGAAGGGGCTGTAGGAGTTTGGTGTCATTGTTTCTGGTGGGTTCAGGAGGGTTGTGCCCTAAACAGCAAAAACCCTAAACCCTAAACCCTAAACCCCTAAACTCTGTTTGGGTGAAGGGCCTGCGGGCCTTGAGGACGGCTGGCTTGTGCTGGGGCTCTTCGGTTCAGGGGTTTAGGGTTTAGGGTTTAGGGTTTCGGGTTTCGGGTTTATAGGGTTTGTAGGGTTAATCGGGTTTAAGGGTTTATAGGGTTTATAGGGTTTATAGGGTTTATAGGGTTAATAGGGTTTAAGGGTTTATAGGGTTTATAGGGTTTATAGGGTTTATAGGGTTAATAGGGTTTATAGGGTTTATAGGGTTTATAGGGTTTATAGGGTTTATAGGGTTTATAGGGCTTATAGGGTTTATAGGGTTTATAGGGTTTATAGGGTTTAGGGTTCAGTACGCTTTCCCGTCACACGCCTCGGTATCAGGTTCAGAAACGGGTTTAGGGTACAGGGTTCAGGGTCTGGTCTATGTGGGCCAGAGGTTGCGCTTCGCTTGTGGCTGTTCGTGGTTGTTTCGCGCCGGCCTCGTCCAGCCTCGTACCCTAAACCCTAAACCCTAAACCCTAAACCCTAAACCCTAAACCCTAAACCCTAAACCCTAAACCCTAAACCCTAAACCCTAAACCCTAAACCCTAAACCCTAAACCCTAAACCCTAAACCCTAAACCCTAAACGAAAGGGGGGGCAGGTCTCGAGCCCGAGCGCCTCAAGGAGCTCGCGGCGTCCCACGGCATTTGCCTCATTGACCACGAGGCGTGCCAGGGGGGGTTTAGGGTTTAGGGTTTAGGGTTTAGGGTTAGGGTTTCGGGTTTAGGGGTTTGCTTGTTTAGGGTCCAACAAAGGGGGTAACCTTCTCTGGGGGTTCTTATCAGGAGGGTTGTCCGTGTGAAACAAAACGGTATCGGAAGTAGAATATGGGCATTAGAACCCCGAAGTAGACCCTAAACCTTCAACCCTTTAGAAACCCTAATAACCACAGTGCTGTCGGGCTCAGTGGCTCAGACACAGAGGCAGCGTCAGGTAAGCCCTAAAATCTGCAACCCGAAACAAACCCTGAAAACGCCTAGGCATAATCCACAAAGCCTTTTGACAACCCGAAGCCCTAAACCTTAAACCCTAAATCCTAACCCCCGAAGTTCCCAGTCAGGGAAGATTTCGTCTTTTCGCTGCATGCAGGTTGTGACCCTCCTCCGCCACTTTGGCATTGCCGGAGAGTCCGACGACGCGCCGCCGAGAATCCTGGGCCCGGCGCCTGCGCCACAAAGCCAGGAAGGTTGGGGTTTAGGGTTTAGGGTTTAGGGTTTAGGGTTTAGGGTTTAGGGTTTAGGGTTTAGGGTTTAGGGTTTAGGGTTTAGGGTTTAGGGTCTCGGGTTTGCAAAGGTTTTGCCGCAAGTTCAATCTCGAGTATTCCCAGAACTGCAGCGCTCTCTGTGCGTGTGGCCTCAGCCATGAAGATTGAGAGCTCAGAGTTGGCTAAGCCCCCAAGCCCAGTTGCAAAAGAGGGTCTAGGGTTTAGGGTCTAGGGTTTAGGGTTTTGGGTTCAGCTCCAATCAGTTGAAGTAGTATGCCGTTTAGGGTGCCCTTAACTGTTCACGCGCGTCGTCCGCCCAGCGCAGAGGCTTCCAGGGTCCAGGGCGTAGGGTTCGAGCAGGGATCTTTTTCATTTCCCTTACATAACCCCGATATGGGTGGTCGTCAAAATTATGGTCCCTTTTTGGATCCCTATTATAATACGGCACCTAGTATTTAGGGTACCCCCAAAAGGGATCATTTTTACAGCCACCCATATATGCCTTGTATCGTCCCTATATACCGAAGTAGCCACAACATGACCCCTAAATAGCCCCTAAGGTCCCTTATAAGGGTGCCTCCTTTAGTACTTTAGTCCCCTTGATCTAAGGTTCTTAGGGGGTCCATAAACAGAGGGCCGCACTCTGAGTAGTTGGAGGGCCAGACCTACTGCGGCATCTATGCTGCACACAACCGTCCTCTTCCAGAGCTGCCCTCTGTTAACTTAGGGATACTTGGGAATAACTCTGAATTCTTGTGCACTATGAATTCCCAAGAAACAGCGAAAACCCCAAACCCTAAACCCTAAACCCTAAACCCCAAACCCTAAACCCTCTTTCCCCTCGGTGCAAACCAAGGAGCTCCTTGCCGGAGCGAAGTCGATACCCGTCTGAGGGGTCAAGGAGGGTGCAGCAGAGATGAGGGGCAGGCCTGAGAAGCCAGGAGCCCCCAGCACAGCGCAAGGCGCCAGTTACCACGCGGTGCTGGTTTAGGGTTTAGGGTTTAGGGTTTAGGGTTTAGGGTTTAGGGTTTAGGGTTTAGGGTGTTAGGGGCCTTGAATTCAGGGGTCTTGGGGTCTGGGGCTCTCCGTGGTGCTCTGCAGTGGATTTTGTTATTGCAAGCATCTTGGGGCCGCTTTTGTGTCGTGATTTAGGGTTTAGGGTTTAGGGGTTTCGGGGTTTAGGGGTTTAGGGTTTAGGGGTTTAGGGGTTTAGGGGTTTAGGGTTTAGGGTTTAGGGTTTAGGGTGGGGAGCTTCTAACCTCTCCGAGGTTCTCTTTCTGCCCTAAAAAAAGAAAATCGACAACGACGTTAAAGCACGGATTTCCTGTTTTCAACACTCAGCAAGCTGCTGAAGCTTCTAGGGGCCCCCTCCCCCTGCCTCCCGGAGGGGGGGGGAGCTCCATGAAGCAAAGCCTTAGGGTTTAGAAGGGTGCAGCAACCGAAAGCCCTGAAAAGCCTCAAACTCAGGCCTGCAACCTCTGAATTACCACGGTTTTGGTCTTTTTTTGCCATTTTGGGCCCAAGTCGGCTTGGGTTTCAGTAAACCCTACACCCTGAAGCTTGAACCCTACGGGTTTTAGGGCTTAGGATCCCGAAACCCTAAGCCCTAAATGTGTTCATCATGGGGACTCCACCGGACCCCTAAGGTTGTACCCTTGGGTTTGGGGACCCTTTATCAAGACCCTTTAGGGGAATATGAGGGCCACATGAGGAGTAGATTAAGGGGAACCTTTAGGGTACAATCTTAGGAGTACGAGTCCTAATCCCTTGAGTTAAGGGAAAGGTTGTTTTCTGGGAACCCTCTGGGTAGGACACTTCTAAGGAGCTTCAATGAAAGACTTGGGCCTAGATGGTGTGTGGGGAAGTGCAAGCATTATGCACGGTCCATGAGGCCGTTTTGCCTCTGAGGGCGTGCAGTTGGGTCGGGCCCATTCTTGGTAGCTTAGATTTCGGCTAGCAGGTTTACTACTTCTGAAGCTTCGATGTTAACCCGCAACCCTAAACCCTACACCCTGAACCCGAACATGCCCCCCCGATCCATCGCCACATTTCTCCATGACCTGCAGCACGAGCCATCACAAAGCACGGAATCCTTGGGTGCAACACGGACCCTGAGCCCTAGGCCCGAGAAAGCTTTGCCTAAGCCCCGGTAAGCTGCAACAATTCAACCCGAACCCTAAACCCTAAACCCTAACCCTAAACCCTTGATCCCTTGCAAACTCCCCAAAGCCTGCCAATTTCAAGAGGCCCAAACCCCCAAACCCCAAACCCCAAACCCCAAGCCCCAAACCCCAAACCCCAAACCCCAAGCCCCAAACCCCAAACCCAAAACCCCAAACCCCAAACCCCAAACCCCGAACCCCGAACCCCAAACCCCAAACCCCGACCCCCAAACCCCAAACCCCGAACCCCGAACCCCGAACCCCAACCCAAAACCCCAAACCCCAAACCCCCAAACCCCCAAACCCTCAACCCTCAACCCTAAACCCTAACCCCTACGTGTAGGAGGTCCCAGGCCACAGCTCTTGGCCTTCTTCTGCATGCTTCCATCATGTTGGCTGCAACTTCCCAGGTATCCGAAGCCGAAGTCTTTTCGGGCTCGTAGGGTTTAGGGTTTAGGGTTTAGGGTGTAGGGTTTAGGGTTTCGGGTTTAGGGTTTAGCTTGTAAGGTTTGCTAGGTTTCTCTGGGGCGTGGTATGTGGGGTCCTGGAGTCTTATAGGGTCTATAGGGTTTGACGGGCTTTACGTTTTTGTTGTTGTAGGGTTTGGAGTTTGGGTCTGGTGTTGGAGCTATGTCCGGCCCTGGGCCGAAGCCCACCACCAAAGGGTTGGGTTCATCACGGCGCGATAGCTTAGTTCAGGACTCTACCTCACATCAGAATAGGATCCCTCTTATAGCTGACAGTTGAAGAGGCGTAAACTGAGGGGTCTTGCGCTCGTTGGGTGCGGCCGTGCTGTGCAGCTGTTGAACCCTTCACCCTCGAAACCCGAATCCCATCCGATGATGTCATTTCGCGTAGTTTAATAAGCCCTAAACCCTAGCCCTAAACCCTAGCCCTAAACCCTAGCCTTACACCCGTTTATACTACGTCTTAAGACTGAGAGGATGATACTGGCAAGGCAGTAGAATCTCCACACGCTCCACACGCAGAGTCGAAGGCTGGCCAGGCTGCACTGAAAACTTGAGGTTTAGGGTTTAGGGTCTGGGGTTCAGGGTTTAGGGTTTAGGGTTTAGGGTTTAGGGTCTAGGGTTTAGGGTTTGGGGCTTGGGGGATTTAGGGTTTAAGGGATTTAGGGTTGGGATGTTCCCCCTTCTACTAAGAGTCCTTAACAGGGATATATAGTACCCCCGATTGCAATCCTTATCAAGGACTGTTTGTATCAGGGGGAACTGTAGGGTTTCTCGGCCCTGCTGCAAAAAAAAAAAAGTAGGGGTTTAGGGTTTACGGTTTAGGGTTTAGGGTTTAGGGTTTAGGGTTTCATGTGCAGGCAGCTCGACGCCCGATGCAAGGCTCCTCCTCGGCCCCTCCCTTCTAAAGACCCTGAGGCCCAGTCGGTGCATCAGTCTCCATGAAGGACATTATGTGTGGTGTTGTCATAGAAACTTTCTGAGAGTCTTCGGACCCCTGGCATCTGCAGCCGTTTCACTCGTCTAGCCTGCAGCCGCGCGGCATTTGCCTCACACGTGACAAGGTTGTTTTTTTTGTTGAAGGGCCTCTCGTTTGAACATCATGATTTAGGGTTTAGGGTTCAGGGTTTTCAGTGTTTGGGCTTGATGGTTGGGCCCGTCTGCGGGCGCACCGCCAGAACGGGCCAGGCACGTGCTCTGCGCACTCGCACTGCCCGGGGCTCATGTGTCTGCCCCGGCCTCCGAAGGAGGCCACAGCAGCTTGAGGAGCTTCCGGGGAGCGTTGTGGATTTCCAGAGGATCCAGAGACGCCACTTTGATGTACCCTGGGGTTATAGTGTCGTGAGCGCCGTGACCCTAAACCCCCCGGACAGGGCCCCAGAACGTCCTGACACCTAAACCCTAAACCCTAAACCCTAAACCCTAAACCCTAAACCCTAAACCCTAAACCCTAAACCCTAAACCCTAAACCCTAAACCCTAAACCCTAAACCCTAAACCCTAAACCCTGCCAGGGTCCATTGAAGCAGAGTAGCCAGGTTTTGCTTGCCATGCGCAGGCATCGGGGCCGTCCCAGATGGCCTCAGTACAAGGGGATTTGCCCAGATGCTTCGGACAGAAAAGCTAGGGTATAGGGTTTAGGGTTTAGGGTTTAGGGTTTAGGGTTTAGGGTTTAGGGTTTAGGGTTTAGGGTTTAGGGTTTAGGGTTTAGGTATGATAAGGTATGTGTTTGTGTGTGTATATATATATATATGTACTTATAAACCCGTATGCCCCCCCCAAAACCCTAAGCCTTTAGGGGGATGTAAGGAGAGACCCCTAGTATACCTTTATACCTAAGTAGTCCCAACGTAGCCCCAATGTAGCCCCTAAGGTCCTTTATAAGGGTCCCTCCTTTAGCTCCCTAAACCCTAAACCCCAAACCCTCAACCCTCAACCCTCAACCCTCAACCCTAAACCCTAAACCCTAAACCCTAACCCCTTCCAGGCGCGGAGGGCTCAAGACACGTCAGGCAGTAGAACTCCGGGTCCTGCCCTCCATGTCGGCCCAGCAGCTAAGCAAGCTGCACAGCTGCACAGCATTCTCCCTAAACCCTAAACCCTAAACCCTAAACCCTAAACCCTAAACCCTAAACCCTAAACCCTAAACCCTAAACCCTAAACCCGAAACCCGAAACCCGAAAACCTGAACCTTTGCTGGTTTAGGGTTGGGTGTTTAGGGTCTAGTGGTTAGCAAAAAAAGGGGTTTCGGGTGTAGGGTTTAAAGTTCCTTGCACAAAAGGGTTTAGGGTTTGGGGTTTGGGGTGTAGGGTTTGGGGTTTAGGGCGAGAAGGATTGTGGGGATGAATCTGTTTCTTACCCTGGATGCAGGGACATGCAGGGACGCCATGGCCTCTGCGTCAAGGGCTTGAAGGGGAGAGAGAAGGGGTTCTGCAAGAGTTTGGCTTTGGGCTTTCTTTAGGGTTGTGGGACTTTTTCCCTGTATCCCCCTACATATAGATTTTCCCTTTCAGGGGGTTTATTGGAACCCCACACCCTAAACCCTAAACCCTAAACCCTACTGTCCTCATGCCCCACTAACAACCAGTAAGAAGCAGCAACGCCACGGATCAAAATGGGTTTAGGGCTTGGGGTTGAAAGGGTCTAAAGGGTTAAGGGGCTCAAAAGGGGTTTGGGGCCGTTTAGGGTTTTACAAAGGATAGGGGTTTGGGGGTTTCAAAGGGTTTTCAATGGGCTTCAATTTAAAGGGTTTAGAAGGGGCTTAGAGGGGTTTAGGGCTTACAAGGGTTCAGAAGGGCTTAGAAGGGGCTTAGGGGTGTAAAAACGGTTCAAGAGGGCTGAAAGAAAGGGCTTCAGGCTTGAAAGGTTCAGGGTTGAGTTTTTGGGGCTTAGGCTTTGGGGTTTCGGGTTTAGGGTTGATAGCTTAGGGGAGGTTTTTTGTTGCGCCCGAACCAGGGGGACTGCACCACAACAGAGGCCCCCCCCCCCCCCCCCCATCAAAAGCCCCAAATCAGAAGCCCGAGACTCCTAGACCCCCGAAACCCTAAACCCCGAAAACCCCCGAAACCCCGAAACCCTAAACCCTAAACCCTAATACCCTATACCCTAAGCCCTAAACCCTAAACCCTAAACCCTAAACCCTAAACCCTAAACCCCAAACCCTAAACCCTAAACCCTAAACCCTAAACCCTAAACCCTGAACCCTGAACCCTAAACCCTAAACCCTAAACCCTAAACCCTAAACCCTAAACCCCGAAACCCGAAGCCCTAAACTTGGCACCATCCTCACCACCACATTCCCAAAAGGCCCATCGGAAAGCAAGGAAAAAACCACTGCTGAGGGTTGAGGGTTTAGGGTTTAGGGTTTAGGGTTTAGGGTTTAGGGTTTAGGGTTTAGGGTTTCTGAACCCCTATACACGCTCTATACTCTCAACCCCTAAACCCGAGAACCCTGAACCTTTCATCCATACATCGCCGTTTCCGGGAAATCGAACAGAGGCCCTGAACCCTAAACCCTAAACCCTAAACCCTAAACCTTAAACCCTAAACCCTAAACCCTAAACCCTAAACCCTAAACCCGAAACCCTAAACCCTAAACCCTAAACCCTGCTGAACCCTCGCGGGCGGCAGAGGTCGATCTCGCTCCCCGGGCTCCTCAAGATCGGGACGGAGAAGCCCAAGGTTTAGGGTTTAGGGTTTGGGATTTGGGGTTTAGGGTTTAGGGTTTAGGGTTTGGGGTTTAGGGTTTCGGGTTTAGGGTTGAGGATTCAGAGTTTAGGGGAGGAGCCTGGGTTATTCAGTCGGAATTGCAAAGTTTGACCTTTTTGTTTTTGGAAGCGGCGCCTCTGAGGGGCCCTGCGAGTAACCACATTTTCAGGGGTTCGGGGTGGGGGGGGGTGTGGCTGAGCAAAATAGGGTCTATTTAGAAGCTACCGCCTGGGATTATAAATCAATTTTAGCATATCCAAGACAACCCAGCTACTTCTCCAACAACGTCTCACGCATATGCGCACTTAGACAACTCATTTCGGACTGATAAATGTTTTGGCTCTTGCAATCTCAGACCCTAAGCCCGGAACCCTGACCACAAATTCGTACACTCTAAAACCCTACACAAGAAACTCTATACCGTATTTCCTAAACTCTAACTCCTAAACCCAGAATCTAGAAAGAAAAGGAGGAAAAAGAAAGAATCATGTGCAGACGTTCCTGTGTTCCTATCTTCGGAGTTCTTCTATTCCTATCTCTGCTGATTTTTCAGAATGGAAGGAGGGCTTCATTTTCCCTCTCACTTTTCCTTTCACTTTTCTTTTCTCACTCCAAGCAGAAGGGAGAAGACAAGGGAGAGAGGTGAGAGATAGAGAGCCCCTTACAGCTCAATAAATAGAAAGGTGACCAAAATGGATGAAAAGATCGCCTGCTTTCATTTCTAAACGGCCTGTCCCCGCCTTCTTTTCTTTGCACAGTGCAGACATAAATAAACACGAAAGAAGAAAGAGGGCCTTTCCCTACTATTTCCTTCGCTATCCTGGAATCCTGGTTCGGAAAAGAAAGGAACAGCTACCAGCCCCCCTCCCGACTTTCATCTTTCCATTTCTTTTGTTTCGTCACGCTCAAACGGACAGAAGAAGGGCGGCCTCTAGTGTTTCCTCGCCTCCTTCTGCACTGTTATAACTTCCTTTCTTTTCTCTTCTGTTGCTTTGTGTGACAGGTGCGGGGGCATTTCTTTCACTTTTCCCATCGAAGAAAGGCTCCCTTCCTATCCGCATATTTTCTTTTCTCTTCCTTCCGAAAAAGACTATAAGAGGCAGGGATAAACAGAATGAAAGAGGAGTCTCCTTTTGCTTTCCGACTACCTTCTCACCACAAAAAGGAACCCTTCTCTTTCTTCCCTTGACTTTCTTTTATCTTGTTTGCATTCTACGTTTCCCACTAAGAAAATGAGACAATGATGAAGATAAGTGAAGAAAGATCACCTGCCTGCACGCAGGTTCTCGGGAGCTTGTCTCGACCGGGCTGTCCCTCCTTTCCCCGCACGTCCCTTCGCTTGTCCCCATTGATCTCTCGCGTCTCTTCCCTTTGCACTCTCTCGCCTCTGGCCCGCCTTCCATGCTGAAAATGCTGAAGAGATACGAAAAGAAGAGCTCATGATTCTTTCTCATTTCTTCTTCTTTATCATTCCCATATGAGTAAAGAAGAAAGATTAGGAGAGAGAGCCCTGCGGCAATTCCTGTTTTGGGCGGAAGAAAAGAAACAAAGAGATAATAAGAGAGAAGAACGAATAAGAAGGTGCCGGGAACGAAGATGGAAACTGCTCCTTCACCCTGGTCTATCGCTTCCTTTTCGAATTTTTTCGGAAGGAAGATCGAAGAAGATAGTGGGAAAAAAGGAGTGAAGTGCCCGTAGAAGGGAGAAAGTGAAAGGGATGCCCCCGCAACTTTCATATTTTGATAAGAATGCAAGCGCCAGCAGAGAAGAAAGGAAGAGAGAATAACGAGGAAAGAGCGGAAACCGAGGAGATTAGGAGCCAGGTTTCCCTGATTGATTCTCGTCACTTTTCTCTGTTTTGGGAAGGTAAAGGGCTTTATATCTCCCACCTCTCTCCCTTGTCTTTTTGGTTGGAGTGAGAAAATATAAAGAAAAGCGAAAGGAAAAGTGAGAGGGAGAAAGAAGCCCTCCTTCCATTCTGAAAAATCTACCGATTTAGAGACAGGAATAGGGGACAATATGGAAATGATTCTTTCTTATTTCTTCACGTTGTAAGAGACAAAAGAAAAGTGAAAGGAAAAGTGAGAAGGAGAAAGGACGCAGAGATAGGAATAGAAACACTCAGAAGAGACACAGTCTCAGACAAGATAATTTGCTGACTTGTGATTGCGTGGCTGCCTTGGCAAGAGTTGTTGCTGGAATGGCTTTTGGGAAGAAAGTCGGAGGTGCACTTTTCGATCCAGGCGTGTTTCGCGAGCCGCAGCTTCTGGCCTCCTCTTGCTTGGGCGTGGCCAAGCGCCAGGGAGCAGAAATGCTGCGTTTTTCAAGTTTCAAATTCGTTTCTGTAGTTTCAGACTAGTTGCAAAATAGTTTCAAAATCCAGTTGCAAAATCGTTGTTAAGGGGAAACTGCGTTTTTCTACGCGCAATTGCAAAACATGCAGAAGTTCTGGTTTTCAACAAGCGCGGACAGAAATTGCAGCTCCTCCTTAACAGCGATATTTCAACTGGATTTTGAAACTAGTTTGAAACTGACTTGAGACTAATTTGAAACTATGGAAACGATTTTGAAACTCGAAACACTACCATATTCCGGACTTTCTGCCCCCCTCCTGGCCCCTCACATATGGCCCTCACGCACGGGAAGTTGACTTTGGTCAGGCGTGACTAGAGACCAGAGCTTCCGAAAGCTTGCCAATCTCCGGACAGTAGGAATAGAGGAATGTGTGGAAATGATTCTTTCCTAGTTCTTCATCTTCTTTCTCCTTTCCCTATGTATGAGAAAAGAAGACAGACAAGGAGAGAGCCCCCTGCAATTAGGAATTTCCCCAGAAGAGAAAGCGAAAGGGATGCCCCCGCAACTTTCACGTTTTTGAGAAGAATGTAAGCACCAAAAGAGAAGAGAAAGGAAAAGAGAATAGCGAGGAAAGAGGCAAGGAAACACAGGAGGCAGCCCCTCCGCTTGCTTCTTGAATGAAAAAGACATCGGAGAAATGGAAACATGAAATTGAGAGGGAAGTTGCGCTTTTCCTTGCTGAAGAACAAAGCAATTCCAAAGAACATGGAAAGCACAAGGAATGTACTGGGAAAGGTAGGGAAAGGGATTCTTCCCCCTGACTTTTTTGCTTTCCTTCAATCTGCGATGTAAAGGGAAAGATGCAGCGGACAGGTCTGAAAATACAGGCAGGTGATCTTTTTTCCTTATTGTCATCATTGTCTCTTTTTCTCAGTGGGAAACGTCTCATTTTCTCAGCGGGAAACGTAAAGTGCAAAAAGATAAAAGAAAGAAAGTAGGGAAGAGTTGGAAGGTTCCTTTTTGTGGTGAGAAGGTAGTCGGAAAGCAACAGGAGACTCCTCTTTCATTCTGTTTATCCCTACCTCTTATAGTCTTTTTGGGAAGCAAGAGGGAAGAACATACGCGGATAGGAAGGCAGCCTTTCTTTGATGGGGAAAAGGAAAGGGATGCACTGCCCCCTCAATTTTCATGTTGATAAGAATGTAAGCACCAGGAGAGAAGAAAGGAAGAGAGAATAGCGAGGAAAGAGGCAAGGAAACACATGAGATTAGGAGTCAGGTTCCGGTGATTGATGTTCGTCTCTTGTCTTCTTTTTGAGAAGGTCGCTTTTGGTTGGAGGAAGAAGTCCGCCTTCCATTTTGAAGAATCTGCAGAGATAGGAATTGAAGAAATCACAAGAGACACGGATAGAGGACATTATAGACATGATTCTTTCTTATTCATTCATCTTCTTTCTTCTTTCCCTATATGAACACAGAACAAAGACAAGGAGAGAGAGCCTCCTGCAATTGGGAATTTCCCCAGAAGAGACAAAGTGAAAGGGATGTCCCCCGCACCTTTCACACTTTTGAGAAGAATGTAAGCAACAGAAGAGAAGAGAAAGGAACTCATAATAGTGAGCAGGGAGGCGAGGAAAGACTGGAGGCAGACCTTCTTTCCGGTTGAGCAGGACGAAACAAGAGAATGTAAGATGTAAGTCGGGAGGGAGGCTGGTAGCCGTTCCTTTCTTTTCCGAACCAAAGACAAAGAGGAAGGAAGGCAGGATAGGTTTCCGTGATTGATTTTCGTCACCTCTCTATGTTTTGAGAAGGTAAAGGGCGTTCTATCTCTCACCCCTCTCCCTTGTCTTCTTGGTTGGAGTGAGAAAATATAAAAAAAGCGAAAGGAAAAGTGAGAGGGAGAAAGAAGCCCTCCTTCCATTCTGAAAAATCTGCAGATTTAGAGACAGGAATAGGGGACAATATGGAAATGATTCTTTCTTATTTCTTCACGTTGTCTCCTTTCCCTATATGACTCCCTTGCGATTTCCCTTTTGGTTGGAGTGAGAAGAGACAAAAGAAAAGTGAAAGGACAAGTGAGAAGAAGAAAGGATGCAGAGAAAGGAATAGAACAACTCAGAAGAGACACAGTCTCAGACAAGATAATTTACTGACTTGTGATTGCGTGGCTGCCTTGGCAAGAGTTGTTGCTGGTTTCGCGAGCCGCGGCTTCTAGCCTCCTCTTGCTTGGGCGTGGCCAAGCGCCAGGGAGCAGAAATGCTGCGTTCTTCAAGTTTCAAATTCGTTTCTGTAGTTTCAGACTAGTTGCAAAACAGTTTCAAAATCCAGTTGCGAATTCGTTGTTAAGGGGAAACTGCGTTTTTCTACGCGCAATTGCAAAAAATGCAGGAATCTCTAGAGGTTCTGGTTTTCAACAAGCGCGGACAGAAATTGCAGCTCCTCCTTAACAGCGATATTTCAACTGGATTTTGAAACTAGTTTGAAACTGACTTGAGACTAATTTGAAACTATGGAAACGATTTTGAAACTCGAAACACTACCATATTCCGGACTTTCTGCCCCCCTCCTGGCCCCTCACATATGGCCCTCACGCACGGGAAGTTGACTTTGGTCAGGCGTGACTAGAGACCAGAGCTTCCGAAAGCTTGCCAATCTCCGGACAGTAGGAATAGAGGAATG